TAAACTAAACTGGGTACCGAGAGCAATAACGATGTCGCAAACTCCTGAAAGCACCAAGTATCGCTGCACCTGAGTATTGTTTTTAGTTATATACTATCACACATAGTGACCCATCATTAAACCACCTAATTTATTGTAAAAAGTTAAATATGGACGATCTGAATTTACATCCATTTTTAGAAAATATAGATTTTTTCGAATTTTAATGTTTATGTTTTGCCAACCAACTACATTGATAGATCTAATAAGATGCAACAGAAGCAGCACAGGAGAAGCACTGTGGCAAGCACGTGTTCGTCAAGAAGAACAGAGCAGCTAAGGTGACCATATATAAGCATCTATATTGTCCGCAATAAAACCACGGCGTCATGCTCAGCTCTAGCCAGAGTCGTCCAATCACGTGGCGAGAGGAGTACCTATCAAACGGGCCTGTCAAGCCTCGTTGATCTTCCATTGAACTTTGCTACCACCAAGCAAAGATGACGCTACTGCTCCTAATCTAAGGAGGGAATTGTCGTGACAATTTGATATACAACTAGTATTTTTATAGTACCTAAGGCTGTATCGATTTGCCACAGATACTTCAGTAATAATTACGAAGAACAGAACATAATTCTCTGTACACGACCGTTGAGCGTCGTTGATACTTTCTAGTTTCTACTCTTACGCATAAATGAAATATTAACGATTCGCATTAAATTATTTCAGGAGTAGAAATCTCTCACATGATGCATTATGCCGTCATGGCGGAAATTTATTGAGCAAATAACTTTCCTTAGGTCTTTTATGTCTTTTACAAGCGCATGCAAAACACTGAAACACTGAACACGTACGGTAATGTTATAAGCCCTAATTATATGAGCCATATGCACTCGACCATCTATCCACCAATCATAGATAGAATTTTTGTCACAAAGTAGTAATATTATTAGAATAGATGGCGTCACATTGTTGAAACGATGTTAACGATAACGTTGATGATAGTAAGGGAAAAATTTCACTACGAAATTGCTGTAGCATAGACTAAGGAGTCAAGTTTCTGCGCATTTAGTATGGAAAGCGGTAATGAATCGCAGAAATATGAGCGAAAGGCTAAAAAAACAAGTGGTTAAAAATTAGGCCGGATCTAACAAGGTTCAAACGTGAAATAACTAGGTATACATTTTCAGTCGATATTGTTTCTTCGTTTGACTTTTGAATTAGAACGTCTCCTCGGAAGACATTTCACATGGCACAACACGTGTACCACCTTAACCTAATCACGTAACTCACTGTGGAGACTGGAGGTGTGTGAAATTTACAGCACTTTTACAAAATAGAATTTTATTGAGCATTTCCCGTAATTAGGCTCATTCTATTTTCAGCTTCACTTCGACCACATGAAGTGTGATGAGCATGAAAATGTTCTCTGTTACAGCAAAATCTAATAAAACAGGAATGTGTTGTCAGTGTTGATTAATTTTAACAGAGTTGAATTCTACACTCCTCAAGAAATAGCGTTTCATATAATACATTCAATTTCAATCAAGCTGGGTACTTAGCTTGACCCAACTCTGTACTGACGTCTGACGGTACAACAACAAGTACTAGGTATAACTACACCATCTGACCATCAACATAAATTGCTCCTTCCAAATTCAACTATGAACTGTACATTTTAAGTAAGTTTATAAATAGGGAATAAACCGCAACAACCCGAGCACCGAACTGAATAAGAGAAGGCGCGCAGAGATAAAAATTAAGTCCAATTGTAGTTACTACATTTAGAACCATATAATTGGTAAATCAGCTTTCTCACGAGACACAAATCTGTTGGGCAGATAATGCTTAAACACTAACAGCAAGCCGAACGTGTCACAAATAACATGCAAACTAGCAAGGCAGTACACTAAACAAACCTTCGGTAATCCTACATAACAAGACTACATTAAGTGAATGATTAGGATTTTACTCTCACAGCTGAGGTTTAGGTCTCGGAACGCTTATAAACTTTCGCACGCGTTCGTTAGGAGACGCACCAATCGCAACCGCACACCCTGCCTCAAAGAGAGGTTGGGACTAACTGAGCCCGAGAAATGAATCAAATGGCAATTGAGAACGGTCAGCTGGACCGTGGATGGTAAACGCAATTTCACATTTTTGCGCTTGTCATTTACTGTTCGAGCTTTGAGAAGATTAGAATGAGCTGGTTTGAACTGGAAACAAAAAGATCTTGCCATGACATGTAGGAAGGTTACCAACATGTAAAGTTACGGTATCTGTTATTAGCTTGATTTTCGGGATGATCCGAATTGATCCCAAAATGTCCGAGCGATCGTGTTAGTGCTTACAATAGAAATGAAGCCGCGAAAATATCAGAGCAATGTGAAAATGTGAGGTAACAGTTTTCGTCCCTATATGGCTATATCGAATTAGGTTCCGATAGGACGGATTAAAACCCTACGCTTCGGAAGTTGCTTTACCTACACAGTTTACAGAACGTATGTGTTTTTGAGTTCTCATTGAAGTGGGTATTTTCCGGACAAGGCTTCATTACATTTTTGCGCTTGTCATTTACTGTTCGAGCTTTGAGAAGATTAGAATGAGCTGGTTTGAACTGGAAACAAGAAGATCTTGTCATGAGTTGTAGAAAGGTTACCAAAATGTAAGGTTACGGCATCTGTTATTAGCGTGATTCCCGGGAAGATCCAAATTGATTCCAAAATGTCTGAGCGATCGTGTTAGGGCTTACAATAGAAATGAAGTCGCGAAAATATCAGAACAATGTGAAAATGTGAGGTAACAGTTTTCGTCACTATATCGAATTAGGTTCCGATAGGGCGGATTAAAACCCTACGCTTCGGAAGTTGCTTTACATAACTTATGTGTTTTTGAGTTCTCATTGAAGCGGGTATTTTCCGGACAAGGCTTCATATTGGATACTAAAACAGTTATTGGCGCGCTAAGTGAAAATGACGAGGAAAAATAATCTGACAACGCTCTACGCAGAAAAATAACTGTCATTGTCAGACTCGTGGTAAAAAAAATCACTTCTACCGTTTTACATGAAAAAGAGTATTCCGAAAAAAATATATGTTCCACCTATCATTTAACATTGAATGAAATCCACTCCATACCATTTCAATGGGGAGGAAATTGACGGAATGAAGCATGCTTTTGTTGCCATAAGTACCCGCTTTGCCGATTTAAATAAAAATGAGATGAGCAAAAAATGCGGAGAAAATTTCACGACGCAATGAGTAATAGAAGATGTGTTCTCAATCACAGGTTCCAAAGTTTTGAATAACAACTACTGGGAGGCGTTAGTTATGATGTATGATGGAAAGAATACGTTCCACGGTTTATTTATCACAACAAGATTTGTATTTAGTTTTACACTTATTGATAGCAAATTGACGAAGCGAGGCGTGCGTAGGTTTTACTTTACGTCAGATTACAATTACGCTACTTTATTATGTTGTAGCTATTCTTGCCACTAACCTCGCAGAGCGAATGACCAATTACTGACCATACAACATGAAGAAATATTCTAAATAAAAGCCTACGGTCATTAATACCCTGAGTTTAAAATCGCTGCTGTGTGATACTCGTATTGAGTAAGAAATAATAAGTGAGTAGGCGATACGATGAACCAACATTTAAGTTTTAATTATACTATAAAATGGCTCAACATCCCCACATATAATTTAATCTTTTTTACATTATTGTGCACTTTCACCAGCTGTATTGGTTCTTCGTCGTGTGCATTTGAATGTAATTTTTTGCTTGGTTGAAGGTATTATTTTAGCATTCATATTAAATAGCTTTCATTTAATAAATTGTTCCAGACGTTCCTATGAAGACCAGTAGCTACATGTATTTAAAACAATTTAAAATGGATGGATAGTGATAACTAGTAATAATCCAGACTAAGAAAGCAGCTCGATCAAGTTATTTTACCAGCTAATGAAATATTGCCCGATCAGTTCATATTTAATGAGAAGTATATTGCAGGGCACGGCCTGACACGAAAAAATATTACCTTGCCTGGTGGTTGACTGTGGAGGGATGTGTGGATCTGTGGAGACCAAGGACTGCCTCAATGATGGCTTTTCTATGAGGAAAGAGGATGGCTTCTTCCGAGTCACGGTTCGACACGGAGTGCTTTTGTTAGCAAATCAGTATGGAACTAGTTTCCCATCGCCTGTCCCCGTTCCATCAAATAAATACTTCAACGTGATATCAATTTCTGAATCAATTAATAAATTTCTGAATAAATTACTGTATTTTTTTTTCATTAGATTTTCAGTTGCATTGAAGTTGCTCTACTTAAAAAAATGCTTTCTGGCGTTGCGTCTCCATAGTATGATTTGTGGCTATAACGTTTATTGGCTCTTGGGTGTTAGATGCTTAGGGGTAGTCTGAGTATATATCTTGGAAATAATTTCTTAGATATGTAGTAGGTAGTTTTAATTTTTGTTTAGTGCTTTGACTTAAGTCTCTGTCCCTCTAACACGGGGAGAATAAATGGAGTGCTCTGATCATGACGGTCATTGGAGCCAACAAAATCTGAAAACGCACACGCACGGACGCATGCCCTTCCATCTCCCTAATTCCACCTCGTGCTTTTTTAGCGCATTTTCTCATTTATGAAAAAATGAACTATTGTCTTCGCCATGTCCGTCCGTCCATCCGTCCGTGACTTCATGTTTTCGTCGACGAGAAAATGCGCTCTCTGTCACTCACTGCAGTGAGTACTGAGTTATATTTTTTAATAGTACGGTACGCTTCATCGACATAGTACATTATGCATAATTTTAATGTCTGATCTGTGTTCAAGTTATTTAATTTTAAAAAACAGAACGAATAAAAGAAAATACTGAAAGAAATGAAATACTTAGCCTTTTCAATTTACATAATGGATTTTATACTGGATGTCAACTATGCTGCACTATGCTGGATGTCAAGAAATAAATACAATCACATTAACAACATTTATTTTGGGTATAAAATCTAGCTAAATAAACAAAAAATTATCCAAAATTGAACTCAAGAATGTTTTTTTAAATGACTGATAACTGTACGTCAACATAACGTCCTTCAATGACATGAAATTTTCAATGTTTGTGATGCTGTATACTAATGACATTTTTCATGTGCACACAGTTGCTGGGACTTCTGCACAGACTAAATCCCTGTGCAAACGTGGGATACTGGGACTTTTGTAACAGCCAAATCCCCCTGCAGACGTGGAGCTACATGGATGCGTCTCCAAAGCTCCAATAAGCATCAAACAAGAGAGACATGAAATTTTCATTTACATTAACCTGAAACTAGACTTTAATTTGAAAAATTCAGTATTTTGCAGCCGAAGATAACATTCATACTACCACTTAAGTTTTCTGCACACTAAATATGGTGGCTTTAATGTTAAAATCTGTCTTGTGAAAGTATAGGTCTATATTCAGTACTTCTCTCAAATTATAAAGTAGATAATTTTAAGGCTGATGGTTGAACTCAAGTCTTCTTTTCGATCATGTCCATGTAGGCACCTGAAAGAAGGTCTTCATCTCTCACTCCTAATTTCCTCCTGATATCCTCAGCGATTAGTTCGCCCTCTGCAGCACTTTGACCCTCTTTCAGAACGACCTGATCAGAATGAGGGAGTAACTGTAACTTTGAGGCAGACATGAATAATTACAAGGCAGGTAACACGACTGAACTAATCTAAAATAACTTGTCAGAGTCCATAATGTCTAATGAACGAGGCAGACCAAATGCTCCTTCCTGCATCATTTGGCGGTAGGTAACTCATATAACTCATTTTCATTCATTGTCTTATTACTAAACGCGTTCATATGAATCAAAACGTTGAATTGAAACAGTGAAATATACATTTTAAAGCAAATATATGGAGTTCTCATACACGTTTTCAATTCATCAACATACAATAGGTATAATGAAGGAATTAATTTTTAAGGTAAAACAACCGGAATAATTTGAATTGTTAGTATTTCATCACTTTTATTATCCAAATTCCGAGTTGAAATGATCAGAAATTACATTTTTATCAATATCGAATTTGGTTCATATCAATCACTGGATTGCAAAAATTTGTGTAGATGATAAAATGGCACCAAAGCAATGCTACATTTAAAAAAAGTTTTAGCTCATCAGGCAGTACTGTTTCTAATTAAAATTCTATATTAGCGGTGAAAAAGGCCCGAAAATTGGGTAAAGTAAGGTAGGTAGTGTTTAGGGCAAAAATAACATAGATGGACTTCATTCTCATTTGGGTAGTTCACTTTATAGAAGGGTTTGCCAGAAAAATTCGTATTGTTTGCAAAAGTCAAAGTTGCTTCAAAGTGTAAATCTTCCAAAACCAAGCTAATAGCAGACTTTTATTGACAATATAACTACAGAAACAAGTTTTAGGTATTTTTTTCTTAATGCAATATTTCTATCATGAACACATGCATCAGCTGATAAAAGCCAGAATATATCTTACTTTGGGTTTTGATCTGAAAACATTTAAAACCATTTCTAATCTTCATTGAGCAACCAAAACTATTGATAATAAATAATATGCTTTGTTCTTTACATTTGCATCAAGCACAAGTCAATAAGTCATTAGGACCAACAAGAAAGAAGCAAAAGGTTATTTGCATTGTTTGTTAGGCCCACCTCGAGCTCCATGAAGTCTCCTAGCCCCACAACACGATCTACATGCAGACGAGTTTGCCCCAGCAGGTAAAGGTGGCGAGTCTTGAGCACGCGACCTCGCACTCCAAGGCATGCAGTCAGTAGGTCCTGAAGAGGCTGCAAGCCTCCCTCCACACTGCTGCCTTGCACCTGTATCATCATTAGATATGATATGACAGGGACGAATATTGCTAAGTTTTTTTGCTAGTTTGTAATATCAAGAATAAAGACATAAATGGAAATATGATGCAACAAACTTAGAACACTAAATAATTCATGACAAATTTGGTAAAACTAATTATAATATACCTATATATAATTCAATTACTCAGAATTAATCCCTAATTACTAAAGATGTCAAAATGGCTCAAATTTACTGATATTCAAATTAGACTATTGATGGACTAAAACGATGTAACAGATGAGATGTTGTGATTAATTAATGATTAGATGAAAAGTAAAGAGTCCTTACACAAAAATCCAGAATTCTCCAATCATGTAAACAGTAGCTTTTACTGGCTGAAAGTACAAATTTAGCCAAAATAGATGTCCCAGTATATAATGCCCAGTAATGTAGTGAAAGAATTTTAAATCAAACTAAGCATGAAATTAATTCCAAGCAATAGAAATAAATGTGAAATTTTTCAAAATTATTCATCATAAATTGTGAGTATTACCAGGTAGAAGCTGCTGATTTTAGGCCCAGGTGTGTCGGGACGGTCATAGTATATCAACTGCTCCTCCACTTTTCCTTCCTGAAAGATAATAGGTATTCTGACGAGCACAGACACACGTCAGAAGTCCCCCTGAGGGCACTTCTTGGCAAAATCAAACACCAAAAATTATATTTCTGATATAGAGGTATATGGTTTTTATTAACAAGTGGCAAATTAAGTAAACTACCAACTACTATAGCCACCTGTGAAGCTCGGGTACCTCCACTGCCATCGGCCCAGACTCCCTCACTTTACTCCACCTACTTCACTTGGGTCCCAGAGGCATCCAGTACCTTACCCAACTATTTAATCTGTCCCATGCCAAGGCCACCATCCCTTCCATCTGGAAGTCAGCTACAATCATTGCCATTCCAAAGCCAGGCAAACCTCCATCCATCAGCTCCTCATACCAGCCCATTTTCCTCCTGCGCCCATCTGTGAAGGTGCTGGAGCATCTGCCCCTCCCCTCCCTCAATGCAGCGCTTCCACTGGTGGACTCACAGGACAGTTTCTGCTCCCTCCACTCCACAACATCTGCCCTACTTCATCTAACCCAGGCCATAGCTACAGATTTCAACCAGCTCCATCCACCAACAAGGACAATAGCAATGGCAATAGATTTCAGCAAAGGCATTTGGCACTGTGCCTCACACTCAGCTCATCTCTTACATTGCCTCCAACCCCTCCACGCCAATAGCACCCACTGGCTGAAATCCATCAGAGGCAGGTTGGCCAGGTGCTCCTACAACAGCTGCATCTCCTCCCCACCTCCAGTCCATGCTGGCATATCACAAGGCTACGTCATCTCACCCATCATCTCTTCCCACTCTTCCAATGTTGCAGCATGGGCTTGTCATAAAGGGTTGTCTGTATCTATACCCAAATCCAACACCACCCTTTTCACCTTTGACACCCATCAATCATATACAGACCCTCATGTCAGCTGGGAGGGGCCTGATATTCCACTCTGTCAGACCCTGAAGATCCTCAGGGTCACTTCTGACCCCCACTTCACCTTCTCCCCACATGTTGCTGCAATATGTCAGTGAGCCCGCCCACACCTCAGCATCCTCAAATCTCTTGCCGGAACTAGCTGGGGTCAGCAGAAGGAAAACCGCATTGTGACTTTCAAGGCTCTTATTAAGTCTCTCATCACCTATGCTGCCCCAGTGTGGTTCTCTAATGCCTCTCCTTTGGCAATCTCTAAGTTGCAAACCATTCAGAATTCTTCTCTCCCATAGCCACAGGATCTCTTCAAATGGCCTTTGCTTCCCACCTGCACAGCAAAGCTGAGGTCTTGCTCATGGCCAAACAACTCTCTCTGCTCAGTAGTACCTTGCTAGTAACCTACGACCATACCATCCCTGCTGCCCTATCATCACCCAGACATCGAGGCCCCGTTCCATGAAGCACACGCTCCAGACACGCTTCCTCTCTTCAGTCTCTCACCTACTGGAGAGGGATCCTTACCCCCTGGGCCCTGACTCCTACTCCACTACCCTCAGGCGGGCCTCAGCACCCTGCACAGCTCTGCTTTCTCCTGACCTCCTACCTGGCCTCAGCAGCTCCTAACAAGGTGTTGCTGCTCCCTGCCCCCTCTATCTCATCCAGCAAGCAATCCCTCCCCAGAGCGGCCAGAAGCCACCTTTCCCAACTTTGCTCTGGCTACTCATCACAACACAACTTGTAACTTGCCTGCATTGCAGCAGCAAATAGCCCTCTCTGCCCTGAGTGTGGCATGATGAATCACATCACACTACCCATCAGTCCATCACCTCTTCAGCTATCCATCACACCCTCCCTACGGGCTACAGCCTACCTTGCTAACCCCACTGGTCTAACCCTGGGGCCTGGACCAACTGTGGCATTCCCCTCATCACTCCCATCCTTCTCTGACATCCTTGGAGTGGATCCACTGTTCCCTCCTCCTACTCCCAGAGCTGTCCCCTAGACTGCTACTCCCCTTTGCTGGGGTACCACCAAGTAGCAGTTCCTGGCTCACTGGCTGACCTGACAAGTGACAACTAATCATAGCCACCAGTTTGCCAAATTGCCAGGTGGCTGGCAGGTGGCAGCTACCAGCTGGCAGCTAGTGCTAGACAAAATGATTTTATAGAGATAACAGATCTTAGTCTTGACCAGTTTCTAACAGATCTTAGTCCTGACCAGTTTTTACCAAATACCAGGTTATGCTAAGCAGTAAGCACATAGGCTACTGACATGCTAAGCATCCTGCATCAATGCATGTCACACATGATGTCAGTATGTGCAGTCTCAGTGGCCAGTGCACTAGACTGACTAGAGTGCAGTGTTGTGATAAATGATAACAGATGTTTTACAAAATATCTAAAAAACTTTTTCTCACATTTTAAACAAGACAGGGATTAAAGGACCTTGCTTAAAGTTATGAATGTTTAATACTAATAGTAATATAAGACAATAATGATGAATCAGCAGCAATTACACTTATATGCCACAATATTATTGCATGAGCCTATGAGGACAGAATAGCCTCAATAGGGTACCCGACTACCCGTACCTTGGTCTTCTTTCTTAGCTTCAAACGACCTTTTGGAACATCAAAGAATGTATCTTCCTGATGAATAATTATGGCACTAGTATTAGAAACCTCTTTAGCAATGGTGCAAAAGCTATCAAAATCGCGAATGGTTGCTTTAATTTCCACATTGCAATTAGGCGTTTTAGCTACGTTCATATTGAAAACTAGATAGGCAAAATTTTTGTTAGCTAATTCAAGAAAAAACTTCCAGCAAGTCAGCAACCACCGCACTGAGCGCAGTGGCCAATTCAATTGCAACTTTGCGACTGCCGTCAGCGTCAATGCTGGACTGGAACTATCTAATTTAGAAACAAAACTGAACGGCATCTTTAGTTTCTGGCATGAATTCAAAACAGCTTCGTAGACTATCGTAGTCATCACTCATCATGTGGTTATTGAACTATCCAACTCGTAGATCTGACTCATGGTTTTTTTTTTTTATTTTATAATTTGATTTTAAGACTTCGGGTGTGAAACAGTCACACCTCCCAGCCTGAGCACAACTTGATTTTTTCTTGAAAACTCCAACTCAACTGCCTCTTCACTTCACTTTGAATCTTTCCTCATGCTCTCACAAAGGGGTTTTTGTGTGGAAAAAAATAACAAAGGAATTAGGCACTGATAATTTTCATAGGGTGTTCACCATGCTGCATTTTAGCAGGTATTGTCCCAGGCGATGAATGACTGCAGTTCTCCTTTTTTGGGGAATATCACCCCCTCCCAGAGCTGTGATGAGGTTCCAAGGAAGTGAAAGGTTCTCCAGATTTGAGCGAAACTCCCTCC